TATTCATAGTTGTTCATTAACGGACAATGATTTATGGCTTTTGGTTCACGGTTTGCCGTGACGTGCACGAGACTAGAAGCTTGAAACCGAGACCACGACCATTTTTCCATGAAATTGTTACCGTGATTTGCTGTACCCGTGGTACTTGTTACGTCTCTCTGATCCATAATCGTCTTGAATTGAAATATCAGCGCAACTTTAACAGGAATCACATAAGAATGATTCGTAGTAAAAAAATGTTAATATAAAGCGAAAACATTTTGGTAAGTTACCTTTTAAAAATTGTTAATAGCTGTCCTTGGATTCGGTACAGATATAGTTTTCAAGTCGGTGTGAAAAGATTGGTTACAATTCTCTCGATTATCAGCGTTATAGAGTTCGTGCGTATCAAAGAGAAATTTTTTTTTTTTATAATCGTTTTATAATTGCAACATTAGTATTCTTCGAACGACGGCGTCAGATTCAACCAGTTTCACGTATCTGGAACTCATCACACTTTCGTTCTCTTTTTTACGTCTGGAAACGGCGATTTAAGTTCCAGAAAATCGTCGGAATAGTCGATTAAGCTTTCAGACGGCGAAGGAGGGTTTTCGAAGGAAGGTTAAGCCATACCGCAGGAGTGGGGGATGAAAGGGTTGCGTAGCGCGGGAGCTCGCCATTATATTCACATTATAATCCCATCAGGGGACTCCTCTGCCTAACTGGACAGCTACGAATAATACGACGTACACGCCTCTACCTTCCATTCGCCGTCTATTCCACCGTCCTCACCTTTCTTCATCCTGCTGGCTCATCTCTGTTATTAATTTCGAATTATACGAAATTCTAGAACTTTAAAAGGAAATATACACGAGGCGATCTAAACGCACAGATTCTTTTACGATCTTACGTAACTCATCCGTACTTCCACAATATTTGGTTCTTCGTTTCAATCTTCGTCTCGAGTTTAATATACATATCTCAACATTAAATAGTTTTCACGTTTTTCCGTATCGATCACATACACCACTTTTCGTTTCTAAATGAAAACAGAAACATGGATGACACTCCATGGTTATGTTAATTTTTCCATGCAATTTTTTGTTTGTAAATTATACATGGGGATCAAACTATGTATATAGACTCTTACAATGAGGTGTATAATACTACGGCGAGCCCAACCTTGTAAAATAAGTTACTGGTTAATTCTTATTGGCTATTAGTAATTTATAATGCAAACAGAATATTGCAATTATCATATTCACAAGCAATTATTAATGGATATAAAATAAAATTAACAGTCTGATTACATAATAATGGCATACTTTAGTATTTTTGCTTTGTCTATGCGTATATTTACTTTTGTCTTTCGAGTGAGTTAACTTCCCATTCTGAATGGGTTAACACGCTCTCTTGTGGGTTCCTACGGGTTAGAATCCTAGAATCCTTGATTCTAGCCCGTATCAATGAAACGTTGCAACGATTCGAACATTCGGTATTTACTACATACTTTTCCTCGCAACGCCACGTCCGTTTCTCTTGTCATCGCGTGTTCCGGGGCGAAGTGGTGAAAGCTACGACGACGACGACGACGGCGACGAGGAAACGTCGACGATAACCTACTCCAGTGCGGCTGGCAGTTGCAGCTGCCCGACTCCGCAAAACGAGGAATCCCAGTTACGCGCTCACGGAGGAAGAACGCCGCTGAGGCTGTATAGAATGCTCTCGCGAAGATACCAGCGTGCGCACGGTGGTTTACTTCCGCTGGAGGCACGCGGTTCGGCCGAACGCGCGGCCAGAAGGGGAAGAATAAGAACACGATGACGAGAAGAAGCAAATAAAAGGACGAAGGGAAGAAAAAAAAGAAGGAGAAGAAGAAGAAGAAGAAGAAGAAGACCGAAAACAAAAGGCTGACGACGAACGCGATAGAGAAAATGTAGGAGGGGAAAGGGTTTGAGGGGGAGTGGAGATAAAGAAGCGAAAATGAAACGAATAAGGAGATAGAGCAAAGGGAATGCGGCGAATGATTATGACGAAGGGAAAGCGGATGAAAGAGAGAAAGGAGAGAGTAAAAGGAGAAAGATGATGCAGACAACTCCTCGCGTATAGTCCGGGCCACGATATAGCGAGGTCGTAAACTAAACTCTTGAGGGTTGGGACCGACTACTGCTGCGGCACTTACGGCCGTACATGACATCTTGCTCGAGGGTGCCTTTTTCAATGCCTTTCTGTGCCCGTAACTGCACTACCTTTTTTCATTCTCTACATGCATACATTATAAGCAGGCAAATTAAAATATTAAAGACTCGAGTAAGACCTTCGCCTGTTACGATACCTCTAAAAATGGCGACGCCGGATAAAACATTTCTTCGTACGGCCCTGACCGTGGTCTAAGGCCCTTAGCCGCTCATATTTCTGTCAATTCACTTATTCCGGGAGCTGAAATGTGTAAACTTTGACACCTACTCGAGTTTACGACCTCGCTATATCGTAGCCCGGACTATAACTATGTACCCCTACTCGCTACTCTTCTGCTTCCTTCTCTTTTTCTACGGGCATCGCACGCTCTCTCCGTGCTTCCTCGTCGTCTCCCTCTGTCTCGCTCGAGCGATCCGTGGCCTCTTTGTCCCGTGCAGGGGAAGCCCGTTCCTTCCGTCTCTGTTCATCTCGCGTTCCGTTCGGCCAATTCCTCGTATTATACCAGGTTGCGGCGTGGAATGCGGGCGTCCTTCGTTCGCTTCGAGCAGCGTTCAACCGATGAGCCCCGCTAGCGTTATCCTTCGCCAGTCCTTCGCATGCGCTCCTTAGGGCTTGGTAAAATTAACCTGGAATACTCGGCCGAGACGCCCGCCTCGCTCTTCCCTCCGCCGCGCGGATTCGTTAAACTCGCTCACGCGGCTTGCACCAACACGACATGCCTTCCGTTTCGTTGTGTGAGCGCGCGCCCGGCAGTCACGGTGCGCCGAGGAGATGATCGGCATACTTCGTGCGGGTTTCTCGAGCTTATTGACGATGAAATTAAGGCGATTTGTCGAAGTAGAGCGGTTTTATTGGAGCTCGCGCGGTCTTTCGGATTGCGGAGGAGCGCACGGCACGTTCTCCCTGCCCGCCTCGATGCAAACAGATTTATTTTACTTACGCGTATTCCCTTAGACAGGACCGGATCAATCCCGACCGATGCCCCAACCATGGTCAAACAGTACACCCTTCGAGGGGAGAAACCACTGTCACGGCAGAAAATAAAGCCAATTTTCAAGAATTTTTTCGACTTAACTGTGAAACTTTTCCTGATAAATGTTTAATGTTTTTGAAAATACATTTCTTGAACTACTTCTTGTAAAAATTTCATGTAAAAATATTCATTATTACAGCCATAATACGAACCAGAGTGAGAGGCCTCCAAAAATTTGTTAGAAATGGGCAAACGTGTAATTTTTCACTGCAAGTTGCGAAACAAGATCAAAAAACAGTAGAGTTAGTTGCAGTTTCAGAAATAAATTTCATCAAAATACATTCACTATTGTAGGAGATATGGTCGTTTGAAAGGTGGACAATTGTTATCACTTTACGGGGTTAAGGAACAACTTTTCTAACATTCTTGGAATTTTCAAATATTCTTCACCAAAATACGCGTTGTTTGCATTTTGAAACATTAAAATCCTCCCATCCGTTCAGGAGTTATGATTTTTTTAAGATACGCATGAAATTTCAGGGTGACAGACAGTCATGGTCAGACATTATATTTTCAGTAATGAATTTTTTTCTTGAAAATGCGTAGGATTTTGGGGATATGTGTATTTACCAAAAATGATTGTAATTGACCCCCGTAACTGAAAAGAATTTTTCCAGAACGATTTTAAATTTTTTAATTTCGTCGACAAAGTCCACTTATTCGAATTTTTTTCTCGAAACTGCGTAGGATTTCGGGGGTATGTCTATTCACCAAAAATGATTGTAATTGACCTCCTCAACCAAAAATAATTTTTCCAGAACGATTTGAAATTTTTTAATTTCGTCGACAAAGTCCACCTACTCGAATTTTTTTCTCGAAACTGCGTAGGATTTCGGGGGTATGTGTATTCACCAAAAATGATTGCAATTGAATCCCGTAACTGAAAAGAATTTTTTCAGAACGATTTGAAAATTTTTAATTTCGTCGCCAAAGTCCGGCACTTACTCGAATTTTTTTCTCGAAAACGCGCAGGATTTCGAGGGTATGTCTATTCACCAAAAACGATTGTAATGATCCTCCGCAACCAGAAATAATTTTTCCAGAGTGATTTGGAATTCGCGTGCAGTAGAGTGCGTGTCAGGCTTCGGCACAAGTAGAAATAGTGATTCATGGACAGACACGTCGGACAAATCGTATTCACTCGCGCGCCTCTGACAAATCTTCAAATTAAACTATCCCGAAAACAAAGCCTTCGACGAAGAAATATTATTCTTTCTTTTTTTAAATTGATCGTTAGATGTAAAATCACCCTCTGCCCTGTACACAGGGTATTTCCTAGTCCTTCCGCCCAACTGCAATAATTGAATCACGCATATTCTTCGAAAATTAACTCCCATTTAGGTCCTTTTACTGTTAGTATATGTGTTGATATTATTTTATGTTCTTTCGGTCGCGCGTTCCAAATAAATAGCTGCGTTTTGCGATCCGCAGCTTACTTCTGTTTCCGTAGGAACATTATGTTTTATAGTCTCTCTGGCCCATTATGTCTCCTTAATGACAGTCCGGGCAATTTTTTTTGTGCCCGAAAAATGATCGTTTCCTCCGTGAAAGATCATTGCGGTGAAATTCAATGTTGCGGAAAGCAACATGCAATCTCTCGCGCAGACGTGTCTCGGATCGTAGCGGTTCGGAATTATCTACATCGCGGCATCCATCCCCTCGTTCGAATGCGATACTTTTTTCTTTTTTTTTGCGCGCGCACGTGTACTTTACATTCGATTCCTGGTATCCGGTCGGAATCGAACGCCAGGTAGAATAGCATAATTTAACGCTTATTTGTGTGTTGCAGGTGCACCTGTATGAAGCCGAAGGCGGGGGATTCGGAGAACGGGAGAATCTAGGTAAGATTAATTTCCGAGATTCGAGAGCGGGAACACGAGGACTTTAAAAGCCACTGTACACCTTAGGACACGCTACAGTAATCCAGTAATTAATAAAGTAGGAATTACACCGGTCTAAGCTACGTTTACACTTAAACGAAGCTTACTATCCGCGTGGTAATTCTTAAACCTTTTAAATTTGGGTAGTAGGTTTATACTACATCTATAGTTTCGCGGATACTGTTAATTGTACCATCTAACTTTAATAGAAGCCACACGACGATTTTTTTGATACCAATTTGTACAATTACCGTTGATACGAATGTTTGAACGATAATTGCAAAGGTTGATTGCTCCGGTAATACTTGAATTAATTTCCTTGATTTCCGGTGTCTCAGAGTTCCGTGATAGTATTCGTTTCAAATCGTACATTTTGAATTACTTAATTATGAATAATTTCGTACACGGAAGTTTACGAGAATCGGGAACGATAAGCATCAAGCATTTATTACGCGTAAAATTCAGAATGTACCGCAATTTTCATAGTAATTTACATTTTATAATTTTACGAGCATCTGTTATGAAAGAGTAATGTACTCTGGCTTAAATCAAAACGTATAATTTGAAGAACTGAATAAAATAGAATTTTCCTAATTAGGGATCGAGAATGTATCTAAATATACATTAGTTATTGTATGTTTCGGTTCTCTGCGGTTATGATGTTGCTACGGTACAAAATTCATAATGAAGTATTAGTAAAAAAGTCAGGATAGAGATATAGAGAAACATACAAATTACAAAAACTTACGGGAAAACCAGCGTCGATTTCGAAAATTCATTGCGCACGCGCGTAGTAGAATGCAACTCGGACTTCGGTATAAGTAGAAACAGTGAGCAATGGACAGACGTGACAGGCAAATCGTATTCAACAAATCGCACGCGTATCCAACTTTTCAAATTCGATTAAAACGAAGCCACGAATTAAACAAATTTTTCATTTTCTATTTGTTCATGTACAATCTCCCCCCTCAACAAAACATACGATAACTCGTGCACCATGATACTTTCCATCGTGTAAAAAATACCGACTCCCGGCCGTGGAAGCGTCGAACGTAAAATCACATCACGCAACTCCTCTGAAAATAAAGCGTACTTATTTATTTTCAATCGAACGGGTTTTTATTCTTGCCGGGAATGTTGTGTCGGTCGCGTGAATAATTGAAACGTATGAATCATATCCGCTCGTACGGATTCGGATCAACGAACTAGCGTCGTCGTTTGGCGGGTACGGGGGACAGAATCGTGGACGAAGACATTTCTTGTTTCGCGTGATCGTTCCATACCATTTGATCGATGGTATCTGTAATAAGAGTAAAGATGCGGCGGTCGAGTCCTATCGATGTTAAACGCCCGGTTTCGTGTAGCCGGTCATTTTGTTTCTTCGTTTCCATCCAGCGCAGCATAAAGTCTAGGTTTCAATTACGCGGCCTCCAGATCCGTGCACGCATAGTTGTATGCACGGGATGCGCCGCGCATGCATCGGATGCCTCGTTAATTCCACGCTCGGGGAACTAATACTTACGCAATTAACGATCTGTTTTAAGCATAGAACTGGGAAAGTCCGTTCCGAGATCCAACCATTCGTATTCCCTGTGTCCGTTCCATCGGGGAGCAACTGTTTGCAATAGATACATAGCTAGCTCTCAAAAACCGATCGCATTATTCGAACACCTGGAATTTTATTAAATTATTATGGCATGGTTTATTACTTTTGTTGATGTTGTATTATCATCGTCGTATTATTTACAAGCATATTGTTCATTAAGATGAATAGTCATCATCAGATTATTCCTTGTGTGAATCGAGGAGTTCCTCAACATCGTTATTTTGCAGGTCTTCGCTCCACTTTCGGAGTAGCGAACCTAAAACCAATTTCTATTTTGTTAACCCCTCGACGTACGATTTAATTCCGAATAATTTCTCAAATCTATACTATTTAATTTTGTTTAAATTTGTTCGTACAAGGAATGGACACGAAAATGTAGGAATGTGTTCATTTTAATATACAGGGTGTTCGGTCAGCGCTGGGAAAAATTTTAATGGGAGATTTTAGAGGCCAAAATAAGACGAAAATCAAGGATACTAATTTGTTGATTGTGCTATAGAAATATTTTCGGTAAAGAATTTTTATCTCGAAAGTACGTTGGATTTCGGGAGTATGTCTATTCACCAAAAATGATTGTAATTGACCCCTGCGACTGAAAATAATTTTTTTGGGTCGATTTGAAAAATTTTTTTTTCGCCGAAACTTTCAACACATATACGAATTTTTTTCTCGAAAGTGGATAAGATTTCGGGGGTATGTCTATTCACCAAAAATGATTGAAATTGACCCTCGTAACTGAAAAGAATTTTTCCAGAACGATTTGAAATTTTTTAATTTCGTCGACAAAATCCAACTACCCGAATTTTTTTCTCGAAACTGAGTAGGAATTCGGGGATATGTCTATTTACCAAAAATGATCGTAATTGACCCCTGCAGTTGTAAATAATTTTTTTAGAATGATTTGAAATTTTTTAATTTTGTCGACAAAATCCACCTACTCGAATTTTTTTCTCGAAACTGAGTAGGATTTCGGGGGTATGTGTATTCACCAAAAATGATTGTAATTGACCTCAGCAACCGGAAATAATTTTTCCAGAACGATTTGAAATTTTTTTTTCCGTCGGAAAATTCCATACCTTCTCGAATTTTTTTCTAGAAAGTGGGTAGGAATTCGGGGATATGTCTATTCACCAAAAATGATCGTAATTGACCCCTGCAGTTGTAAATAATTTTTTTAGAATGATTTGAAATTTTTTAATTTTACCGAATAATTTCACACCTGTCCGATTTTTTTTCTCGAAAATGGATAGGATTTCGGAGGTATGTGTATTCACAAAAAATTATTGTAATTGACCCCCGCAACCGAAAATAATTTTTCCAGAACGATTTGAAATTTTTGAATTTAATTTTTTAATAACGAAGCCTCAATCAACAAATTGATATTCTTGATCTTCGTCCTATTTTGGCCTCTAGAATCTCCCATTAAAATTTTTCTCAGGAGTAGAACACCCTGTATAAGACTCGATGACCAGCGAGTAGCCTCATGAACTTATCAAGAATTGTAACGAGTTATTGTACATTTTATGGTAAAATTTACCATAGAAAAGTTTTTTCTTTTTTTCCTGTAGAATAAGAATCCGTAACTGAAAGCACAGGTTTTTAAAATGAATCAGTCTTTGTAAAAACAATCGAATTTATTTGTAATAAGAATGTAAGAGGTTTTCTTTTAACCGAACATAAAATTACCGAGGATATTTAAGATAACGAATGTTGTTGGGCCACCTTATATAGAATCGCGGTGCAAACGTGGCGTGTGCGTGCATCGACTCCCCTAGCGCGTGTGAATGAGCGAGTACGAAGTTTATTATAATGGCGTTACGCGCATTATACCACGTTGTTCGTTAGGTACGTATGCGCGGCATGAGGAAATGGAACAGGCCGTTCGCCGCAGGAACTATGTGTGTCTCGCGAGGTTTTAAAAATCCCCGCCGGCTATCTATTCGCGTTCACCCCGTACCTATGGGGCATTTCCGTATAGTGCTGCTTGTCGGTCAGTATTCACAGACATGATCAGTATATCAACGGTATGATTGAGAAATTTATCGTTGCACCTTGCGGAATACGAACCGCAAAGCGCGTCCGACTGGGTGCAATTAACATTTCGCGTGCTCGTTTTTCCACAACCGGGTCTATCTATAAAATCGAATCCATAAAATTTTTTCTTCCGCTTATCGTGACTCGAATTAACATTCGGACATAACGATTTCGGAACGTTATACATTCGCAATATACAATACGAGCATTGATACCGATAACGAGATATAAATAGGAAGGTAAATTTCAGTAAAACAGTTGTTCGTTATTAATTGTTTTGACATCTAAATTTCGGTCTAGGACCATCTCTGAAATTTTCGTTCCCCTTTCAGTCGTTCAACCGCGTTTGCGTGAAAATCTGAATTGGAATAATTAGGCGTCGTAAAATGTAAAAAGAAGCGTGTAATTCATCATTTGTGCATTCCGTGGTTCGCGTAGACGCAGTACGCGTCGAGAGAAAGACTCGTTTTATCCGAGAATCGCGCGGCATTATAATGAGAACGCGGGACCAACGCGATGCAACACCACGACTCGATTATTTTATTTAATTGCAGGAAACGTTAAACAAAACTTTACATACTCTCGATCTACACTTAAAGTCCCTTCTGTGCAAAAATTATAGCGGCTATCGCAATTTTTTGCACAGCTCGGGATAACTCTTTCTTTATTCAAAGAAGAAAATTTAGGATCACGGTGGTCGAGCATTGAAAATGTCCGCGATGGATTATCTTAAACTGAAATAACTGCATAGTATTACCGCGCATGCTGGGCGATACGAATACCGCTGCGAATGGTCGTGTAATCTCGCAGCGATTCTCGGTAGCGTTTTCTGACTCCCGTTGTTTCGATCTTAATCTATTCCGAAGTGGTCTATTACCGCTGGGCTTCGCTCGAATCGGCGGTAAGGAAAGGAATGGAAAAATTAACTGGATTCTTTACGAGCTCAATTAGTGGAAATTTCTGAGTTTATGGAAGAAAATACCGGTCGTTCTTGATCCACGGGCACACCGTAAAGTGCTATCTCGTGCACGACGGTCGTATCGCATAGCGAAGACTTCATAAACCAGCGGTTGCATCTTCCAGCGTTCGACGAACGCTTAGTATATTTTAAAAGAGAAAAACGCGTCTATTATAGCTACACCAATATCGAAGATATTTTACTCTATCGTTTTATCCTCTTACAGTCATTCGAATGCAAACAAAAATCTTACAGTTTCATAATTTTGCGTTATTAAAAATTATATCTCAAAGAGGATATCAAATTGCGTTACGCGAAGAGTAAACTGATTGTTCGACCAAGTTATTTGTTATCCGTGGATTTCGACGATGAACAGTGACTTCAACGAGTGTTGGGAGATCAAAATAGAGCAACCCTTTCGTATATCGGTAGATCCTTTTTCGCCAGGATTTTCCAACGCGAAAACGCGAAATTCCTGCTCGTTGGGCAACCCACGGTGCTCCGCGTTGTTTGTCGAATAGCGAGGAACAACCAAAGTGCACGGAACGCGTAAGTTGCGTAACGCAATTACGAACGAAGAGACAGCGGTTGCTCAACGCCGGCGGCGCGTAAAGGCTCCGTTTCAAAAGTTCAACGAAAGTCGTACGAAGATTGAAAACCGTGGTGCGGCACGCTGTTCCGCAACAAGTCGAAACGGGGCTCGAGGTGGTCCACACCGTACGCTAAAAACTCCAATTACAGGACACATAGCTGCGATTTAAATTTTATTATCAATAAGATCATCTATAAGAAGTCCCAGTTTCTCCAAGTTATTTAAAACGTAATCTTCATGCGTGACCGTACTTGTACTTCGAAAAGGAACAAGTATTTTGAAAAAGTACGAAACAAAGTGTCGCGTTTATCTACTCTTATTTCTTTACGTATGTGGCTGCACGAACGTTCGTTGTGTGTCACCTGACGCCGTATGGCGTGCACCTGAACCCCAGTTCGATGGTATTCCATCGTGATTTGCGCGTCCGTGGTCCACGGTGTTTACGTTTGCTCGTTGCACGAGGAGAAAGAAACTTCGCCGTTCGGAATTCCTCGAGAGAACCCGCCAGTCGAGTACGAGCAATATCGGCCGTGATTTCGGGGAATCGAGCTCCGGGGATTGCTTCGGTTACGATTTTTCACCGGCCAACTGCCCCTCCCCCCGGCTGTCTTTTACGCGACACGTGTCTTGTTCCTCGAATTCGGAGACCATTCCGGTTGTTTTTAGGTGAAGGCCAATCACGAGTATCCTCCGAGTCGGCGAACGAACGGATCTACGTGCAAATAAACGATCGACGTACGTGGGATGTTTTTTCAGGCTGGGTTTTTGGATCGTACGGCTGAAAAAAATGACTCTTTTCTCAGCTGTATTCTTTTAAATCTTAATCGAATAACGCATTGAAAATTCGAAGATTCAACCTTTAAATGGTATCGTGTATTTTCGAGGCTATTGGGTTGGACGAATAGTAAGGGGTGTATTCCTCGCGAAGAAATAAGTTCGAAAGAAGAGTTTGAAAATTTATCAGGCTGCGTGTAATAGAGTTCGACTTGGACGTCGTTACAAAAAATATTATTCTCCATTGTTAATTTATTATTTCGTGAGGAATCACCCCTGGTCGCTCGTACTATGAATAGTGGAAGACAAGGATCCATTTGTTATTATTTTTAATAATAGAATGATGAATTTATTTGTAGGATGCAACAAGTGGTCTTACAGTATATCAACGTAAATTTTTTAATAACTTCACATTAGGAATGCTACGCAATAACAAATACGCTATTAAACTATCGAATACTTCTATTGGTCACGCTATAATTTGAAAAAGTGTCAAAGATATCCCTAAACAGGGAAAACTGGCATGGAAGCCAAAGACAGTGAAACTTAATTTGTTATAATGAGAAGATACTTACTCTTTAAACTAATATAGTGTTTGAGACAATATACATTGAATTGATGGTATCGACAAAACGCGATAGTATATACAGTGATAGTATTTGAACGTTAAGTATAAAATTGAACCAAAGGAATTCCAAGACAAGTATTTTCAATACGTCGATTAATTGAAACATCGTCATTGTCGTCATCGGTTTGTAAGTCGCAAAGTTCGATTATCCGTTTATAATCGATGAATTATCGTATTGCAAATGTATCTCCTTTTTTCTTAAATCTTCAGCCTGAGTGTATCAGGTCATTTTATTCAACACTATGGTGCTGTTGAATTCATCCGCATTCTTCGATTGCCTTTTACGCATTCTCGATGCAACAAAGGGAGTGAAAAGATCGGGATCTAATTCCTTGGACTCTTCTCCGAAGATGAAATTCAAAATCCAACTAGAAATCCATCCGACCGAGAAACTGATGACGGATCCAAGCGGACAATACCATATGTACGAAATACGGTAGAGATAGAAGTACGAATCGTCGCCGTTCTGTCTGTAATTCAAAAAAAATTCCAACTTACGGATCGTCTTGTGAAAAGCAATTATATTAGAATTAAATTCCTTACTGGTGGTCGAAACGTGAATTCGATGTTTCCACGTAATCATAAAATACAGTGGCGTTGCACCCGGACGTGGATACGTCCAATTTCGGAATCGGTGGTTTTGGTTGACCGAATCCGATCCACAGGGAGAAAATCAGGCTGGACAGCAGGCCAATAACCGCGCCTTTTTGATTGCCAGTTTGCGTGAACATGCCTAGGGTGAAAAGTCCAAAGACTGGCCCACCGACGACACCAAAGATCGTCAGAGCAGCTTGAAGGAGTCCACCAAGGTAGTGGCCTGTAAACGCCAGAGCTATGCAGGCCAGGCCAACTATGATAGCCAAAGTCTTGCTAATGACTATCAATCCTGTCGCGCTTATCTCTTTGCCCCTAAAACAATAATAATAATTTTACTGTCACATAGTTCGATATTATAAGTATCGGAGTTTCAGTAATGTTCCTTGATACGTTACGATTACTCTTGGAGATGTATACTTGTTTTCATTAAAAAAAAACTAAATGGTTTCGAACTTCAAGATTCGAGTCTTCAAATTTCACAAAGAACAGTATTAATACGTTTACGTTTTTGATCCGCTAATTGGACTTATGTAGGCCAGGCTTATCTAGCGGATCTTGCTTTAGGTGTACTTGATCTGTAGTGTATATAAGTAAGCCTCACTATTATTAAGTCCAATTATCTTATCTGGGAAAAACCTAATAATATTGCTCTTTGCATCAGGAATGTGTTACTTATCGCAGAAAACAGAGTTTCTATTTTAATATACCGAAGGCCTAGAGAAAGGTGCGTGGGCTTCGAAAATGTACGTGGTTCGAGCCTCTTTCGATTTCTAGAAGGCCTCGATAACAATTAATTTCAGACTGAGATATAAATAGCGTGTTTCGCCTAGGATTATAAAATGGTAAATAACTTTTAAAATCGTTCTTCAGAAATATTTTGCGTTGCAAGTTGAAGAATGAACTGTACCTGCGAACCAGGTCTCCATTTCTTTGAACGAAAAGTTAAAACTAGCGGGGATAATCGTTGGATCCATACGTGTACGAATCTACTCAGCTTGTATAAACTGTTTACCCCGTTTGGTTCGTATAAATGGAGTTCTACTGTAATTGACAACGCGCGTCAAAAGTTCGGTCGATTTTACGTATCTTACCTTGTACGGTAAAAGGGCTTGATAAAATCTTCGAGTATAACGACGGCCAGGGAATTGACCGTAGCGGAGATAGTGCTCAATCCAGCGCTGAAGATGCCGGCTATAAAGAGGCCGGGTACACCTGGATACTCAGAAAGCATGTCCATCACGTAAAGAGGCATTAATTGATCGTTTGAATTGATCCTTCCGCTCGCAAGGGGGTCGCAGTTACGATATTGCGTGTATATCGCCAGACCGGAGAAACAGAGGCCCAACGACATGATGGACGCCATTGGCCAGCTCCACCAGATCGCGTGTTGCGCGCCTCTCAAATTTCTGAAATATTGTACGATTTTCCACACGATTACCATTAAAGTCGGAAGAAAATTCCAAGCTTCGCATTTAAAGCGTCCCCGAGGTGTACGGTGCTGGACAAAAGAATTGGAAAATTTGTTATTTTTATGATTTGAAACTCTCGTAGCCTGAGTAAATAGCAATTTACGTAAAGTGTACGTTTTACAACGTTAATGGAACAGTCGTTGAACTACTAGTCGAATAAGTTATATAAACTTGTTCGTATTTTCGAGCGACGGTTTCTCGAATAGGTTAAATAATATTGCGTAAATATACGGTCATTCACGGTCTGTTAACATTTAAAGCATTACACGACGGTGGCTTGCGACAGTCGTGGATGGGGAATACCGGTGGATGAGAATAATTTGCAACATCGCGGTATACGTATATCGGGTAGAAAGTAGCCGTGTACTCACTTGATGGTTAACATTCTCTGAACTTGAACTTGGTTACTGCCGTACAAGGAGAGGTATGTGAAGAAACCGCCAAATGTCAAGCTCCACCAGGTGTGTCGTACCGTTGGGTCCGTTGAAATGCTGAATGAATGTACATACCATTGTCAGTATCTATACGGCTGGAATTCCGAGGAAAATAAATGGTAGATATACATGCTCGGAGGAATATTTGAAAGTGTGCTAACCGCATCACGCCCGGCGCTTTACGTTAACAATCAATTCCTGTGACGGCGATTTACGATATAATGGCGAGGAGATATCCGATTTAAGAACTCGCTGGCGAACTGTTACACGCGTTGCTCGACATAACGGCGATGTTTATGCGCGAACAACGTCTCGAAGCGAAATTGCAACGGTATCGTTCGTTTTTCAATTTTAAACGAACGGATATCATAACGTCTCCGCGCGAGTATAGATACTCGAGTAATATAAATAAATTTCTTTACGTAATTGCATGTTCTATATTTGCACCGAGACATTTAAATATTTGTTTGTGAAACCAGGGATTGTTCGAACGGTAGCACGTTGTTTGACTCGTATGCCCGACCCAGTCATCGACGTATTTCGTTTAACGCGCGAAACGCTCGAACGGGTCGTAAAAGATTCACGTACTATGGATATTTGATTGCAAAACCAAACGGCGCCCGAGGAGCATAAACGTCAATTAGAACGAAAGGACGCGCGATGGGAGTCTCGTAATTATTCGAACGGAGCATTTACTTGTCAAATTCTAGCCGCGATCCCTCGCTAGCGATCTCCCAGACTCGATCGAGTCCACCGACGTTCACAGCCGCCGTGACGATCACTGTGATAACAGATATCAGCATCAGCAGACTTTGAAATACGTCGGTAACGAGGACTGCCTTGATACCGCCGATCGTCGAATAAAATGTACAAACCAATCCTATCCCGATTACGCTTGCGGTCGTCGAGATACCTGTGGTGGCGTCCAGGGCGAGTGCTGGCGCGTAAAGCACCACGCCGCTGTACAGAAGCAGCTGAAGCTGAAACGCGACGCTGGCCGACAGTCTCGCAGCTGTACCGAACCGTTTTTGCAAATACTGAAAGCATACCGCATACTTCACACAAAGTTTCAACCCTCGTTTCGAACGGTATAGTTATGTTCAATCGATGCAATTTCTCTGCCTTTCGCTTTCAAATTGAACGAATCTAAAAATTTTATTCGTTAATCGTGGAAAAAAACAAACATTTTCCATTTCCTTTTCCTGATACCGTCACTATCGGTATACCAATAAAGGGGCATCGACTTAAATTTGATATTTAAATTAATCGAATCGCGGTCACTCACCTCGAAAGCGCTGGTCGCCCCAAGTTTGAAGAACACTGGCATGTAGAAATAAGCGATGAACGGGGTAGCCAATCCGTAAGCAATATTGATCACGGCATACTGGGTACCATAAACGTAATTTTCCGAACTGACTCCCAGCAAACTGACCGCCGATAGGTACGAAACCGTTAAACCGATCGCGACCGGCGTCACTTGCATGGATCTGTTCGCCACGAAGTACTCCTGCCGTGCACGAGAACGAAATTAGAAAAGCCTCGTTACCGTTTCGACGTGAAAACTCACCTCTGTTGATTTCTGCTTTCCGCCAGTGAGCCAATAATACACACCGATTCCCGAACTTATGAGCATCATCACCACGATCACCGCGTAATCGGCTATCACTAAAGTGGCCATGTTTCGTTTGTCGAACGATCTCTTCGCACTGAATAAAACCAACGACGATTGCTTGACCGTGACCCCGCAAATTATTTATCTGATGCGATCGCTCGACCAACAATTAAGCACATCCTGTTCCCTCGGTCGTCACTGCCTCGATGCGATAAACGTTTACGTAATTTACAGTGGATGGAAAAAGCATGCAGCAATCAATTTCAACAAAAAACATTATAGAACCTCGTTTATCACGCGAAAGTATATACGTACGTGTTATTAGAAATATCTGGAACAAATTTCGTCTAAATATAATAAGATAGAAATTCTCGAATATGGCCGCTTTTAATTTATTAAAAAATATAATTAAAAAATTTCTTTTTGACGAAAATTGTTTTGAAGATTCCTAAGAATATGTATATATTTTTTTTCCTTTACACTCATCGTAATGGTTTCGATTCGTTTTTCATTTCTTTCTTAAACTTGTTCAATTTCGATATTATTTGCACGGATATTGTTTGATATTTACTCGCGTGCACTCGAGAATAATTTGAGACCGGGAACACTTATCGATTCGATTGTCGCGTTACCGTGGACTCGAACGTAACTGACGCGACGTTCAGTTACGACAAAGTAAGTTATTCTCGACATCCCTTATCAGCACACGATCGTTTAGTGTTTGTTCGCACGTGCCGTTGATTTCTTATCTTCGATCGCACACTCCTCTTTATCCTGGATGGCACTTGATACGTGCCACATCTATCAATATATGGAACCGTATTTGCGTCGCGTTGTTTGAATATCATAATCGTTAAGAGCTAGCAAATGCTCCCAAACTCAATTTTAAGAGTCGAGGCAAAGATTAAGTGTGGCAGATAAGAAAGATATCGGTGATAAATTCAAGAGTGAAATATAAGAACGGATTAGAAACGAAGTTTGCTTATTTTTATCATTGACTTTTCTTATTATATTTGTCTGATAAATATCAATATTTTTGCGATGCATTACACATTTCTTCACGCTGTTTTTCGTACAATTTATGCCATCAATATCGTTCTCGCTTTCCTTTGCAGATAACCTAGGTTATTCTAGAAAAGATTGAATTTGTAAGCGTTAAACCGTTGGAAATCTCAAATAAACATGATTTATAAGAATATTAGGATTATTATTGTTATATAAACTGAAAACTGAAAACTAACTGAAAACTATACAATTCAATATTACTACTTAAAAAATTTCGTTTTCACGTGGAAAAGATGACGCAAGAAGATCATTCGTTTGATAATTCTAATAATTTGATGTAGCTAGAATCGTAAGGAAACGTTGCAGTGTAAGGGGAGTCGAATGATACGGGATAGATAAGTTATGTTGGAGAGGGAAGTCGAACCGCCAATGAACGCGGAGGGTTTAGAGGGATTTAATTGCAAGCCATTGTTACACCCAGTTACACCAACGCGAAAATATGCGAAGGTCATGTTCTATTTCGCACTAAGCTGACTCGGAGCAACGAGGATCAACAATCTTAATCTAATTGAGTGCCATCGGTGTACGTACACATCTGAAAACTACTACAAGCGTGCGGTAAATTGTCCACGCAGGCGATAAATAAAAATGGGCCAAGATCCTTGATGAAAATATAGAAGTACAAAGTATAAATAAAGATATTTCTTGGTTATCCGGCGGCCATCATAGGCAAAATAGACTTACGATTAGGTTAGTCAATCTGGCTATTTAGTTTACTGGAATACAGGGTTCTATAACCGATACAAACATTTTATGATAATTGTTTCATCGTAAGTTGTAATTCCGTGTTCTTAAATATCTAAAGAGGAAGCAGTTTTATTGTAAAGGTAAAATAACGAAAATTATTTGAGATTGATTCTAAACTGAATTCAGCCACGAATCAAAAATTTTGATTGGTCGAACTCGAATAAAATTTGCCGAACTCTAGTTAGAAGAGTGTACTGTAAATATTAAGTGAAAGACCATAGATATCGGATCTCGTATAGGTCTTGGCAGTCTTTACGGTACCTGCGACAACCATTTCCTGCGTGCTATCATATAATGCGTTGTTTGCACGACAAGCGCTTCTTACGGAGCCACGGCTTATGCACGTTCGCAGCTATACAAACCTACGCGTTGAACGTGCACGTACGCACTTCCGCGTTCCCGTATCCTACGCGAGAGCGCGGGAGTCTCTTGCGAATATCGTCGAAATAAATTCCACGGTAATCTATGGGCAGCTTTTCTTTTTCTTCTTGACCCTTAGTTCGCATTAGAATAGAATGCGTGGCATGCAGAAAACGGAGAAAAGGGCCACCGAGACGCGTCGCGCATTCTCGAAACCGCAGCGCCTACGATTTGAATCGCCAAACAGATCTATCGGTTCTGTCCACGGAATACCCTCCGAGGTATTTTTAGACAACCATCCATCGATTTCGAAACAGACCGGTTGGAATAGAAAATCTTTCCTTTCGACACACTTTGCAAGCTAAATTTCTGGATATCTTGGAAAATAAGCTCGGTCAAACGTTTTCAATTGTTACAAAAAGAATCAAAATTCTAACATCAGTAATCGGTACATACTTTAACCATTCAATTCTTCGTGTTACAAACGTAAGTGTCGATTTTTATTCGATTCGTGTTTTACTGCGTTTTCGAGTGAATTATTCTGTGAAAAATTAGTGGATTGCGGTCCATACGTGTAAAGGATAAAAATTTGAATCGAATGTGGATTAAAAATATAGAGTAAAATTTGTTTCATGCGTTCGTTTGTTTTCGAGAAAATTATTTGTTCAAATTTTTGGGCCACTCGCGCGATCGAGTACGACTCGGTTAACGTGTCTGGCTATTATTCGATATTTTTACTTGCGTCGATGTTTTCTACTTCGAATCGTGGCGTGGCGTTATTTACCTTTCGTCGATCTTAGCATCTTCTTAGCATATTCGTGGTATAACAAGTAAAGATGATTCCTCGTGGAAAAATAAATCGAAAAATAGGAATAAAATTTTTCTCGGGAAAATTAACTTTAAAAATTTTATTCCACAATTTTCTATTTATATTTTCACGTAACGGGAAACTCTGTATAGTTAGAACCGGTTGAGACAATAATACTGTACCAACGTCAGTACATGCATACTTGAACACCTAAAACAAGTAGAAATATCGTGTAATGGACGGACACGTTATGATGAATTTTGAATGTCGATTATCTCAAAAACGAAGACACACATGAAAAAACTTTATTCTTTATTTTTGATTCATTTTTTCACGTAGAATTGAACATATTTTTAATATATTCTTTCGCATTAAAATACACTTTTCAATCATCAAATAACATTCTCAACGCCTGCTTTTTCCAACACTTATCATAAAAAAATGAATAAATAATAAATCAAGTTATTGGGTCGCAACGTAAGTTCGTATTTCAAATCTTATTTTTTGACAAAACGAAAACAATAATAATATGTTCTAATAGGAGTAATTCAGGATCATTTTATTAACAGAATATACCCGGTTTTGGAATCATAATCAATAATCAACTTAATTATTCCTGTATCAATGAAGCCGCTATAATTGCGGTTTCACGATAACAAGGTTTCCGTGATTCGGTAATAATCAATGGGACATCTTGATTTAAATATACCTCGAGTGTGTTTAATAATGTATTTTCAGTGGTTAACGGTCGTCGATTCACGGGATTAATTGAATCGCTAATTGTAGATAGGAATAGCTGGAGTAATCCGAGTTATGTATTGCGGCCTGGCAAACTTGTTTGTTCGCATAAACAATTTTCCTACACATTAGCGATTCCAAGGCGGGTGCGTGTTAGCGCCAGTTCACTTGTCACGAGCCTGTCGTGTAACACATTAAGGTGTGTAAAACGTGGCCGTTGCAACCAAGATGCTACACAATCGCGCAAACCGTGGTGGGTTATTGTTACTCGAGTAACGGCTCGAATTAATTCAGACGTTAACGTCCCGATACTCAATCATTCGGATAAATATCTGAAGCGTTTCGAATAGCAATTGCGGAGATCTCGTCGGTTGACAATTATTGAAATTCATTTCGCGTGGTTTGCTCTTTTAAAACTGGCTCCGAAACGATCTTTACCTTGACTTTGAACACGTGGAATCCTCATCGACAGGTCTTAAACTCTCAACCATTGCCTCTGATCTATTTTTCTTCTCAATGACTGTTAGATCGTATAACGAGTCTAATTTCGTTTCAACTGTAATATTTATACATATCGAGTCACGTTAATGCTTTCTTACTTTCGAACGCAAGGGAACGATTTAACGATGTGCATGGACAAAATTGCATTCCTCGAAGCAAACAAACTAATTCCGAGACCCGAGGAGCGTATTAACCTTCGTTCAGCGAGGCACGAAGCATCCCTTTGTAAGTCGGATCACAGATGAAATTGCGATATTACTGGCAATACTCGAAGGCACGATCATTTCTGCAGATATTCATTCCACGAAGGTGTTTTATTGGTCATGGGCGAGGTGCGCCTGTGCCACGTCTCGCGCATCGGTTCGTCCCGCGTCGGGACGTTCTGCGCAGATCTACGGAGTGGCTCCCGTCAGTCGCCAGCCGTGACCATCGTAGCCAACGTTAATAAATTTTCCATATCGAAACGTCGTTTGGGGAGGAAATCATTTTGCAATTAAGAACAGCTTGTCCCGCGGATGAAATGAATTACGACCTGATCGTCCGTGCTTGTAATTCACCCGGCGAATTATTGATAAATCCGTCGATATTTATCGGTAGCCGCGAGTACGTGGAAGAAACAAGCATTCCAGTGTGGCTTAACGAGAATGGTAAACCGCAAGGGCAGGAGATCAGGGACTTTACTGGAATGCGAATCGCCGTATGCACGCGTGATGCCATTCATCGAGACGTGGGTGGAGGGACGCGTAGGTCGGATACAGTGCAAACTCCACCGGTGCCTTTTAATTAATCCCAGCGTGTGTGTGTGCCCACCGTGGCTCGCCCCGGGGCCTTTCTCCGTCCCTTTCGAGTCCATCTTTCTCGATTTCTCTCGTTTCCCAGCGGCGGAAGACGAACAGAAACGGACAGGAAGAGACCGAGGCGGGAAAACTGCATTCCTCGCGTAGCTCTAATTATCCAGCTTCTGGAGCCGCGAATGAGTAGGGAAACGTACTGGTTTTCATTCCTGAGACACTAACCGCGATATCGTGCATTTATTCGCGCCGAACGGACCGATAACGACCAATCGTGTCGCGA